TGTTGTGTGGTGTTGTGTAAGTTGTGTGTGTGTTGTGTGTGTTGTGTGTGTTCTGTGTGTTCTGTGTGTTGTGTGTATGTTGTGTGTGTTGTGTGTGTTGTGTGTTGTGTGTTGTGTGTGTTGTGTGTGTTGTGTGTGTTGTGTGTGTTGTGTGTGTTGTGTGTTGTGTGTGTTGTGTGTGTTGTGTGTCTGTGTGTGTGAGGGTGCGTGTGTGTGAGCGTGTGTGAGTGTGTGTGCGTGTGCGCGCGTGCGTGTGTGTGTGTGCGTCTGTGTGAGCGTGTGTGAGTGTGTGTGCATGTGTGCGCGTGCGTGTGTGTGTGTGTTTTTGTGTTTGTGTGTGTCGTGCTGCGCAGCCGCCCTCCTCTCTCCCAGTCGAAAGTCAACCATTCGAACGCTTTGGCGTCCGCCCTCGCTGCGGACCAAAATGTGTGTGTGCGTGTGTCGCCCAGACGTTCTACGCCGCATCGCTGCGCGCGGGGCCGAGGCGTCTAAGAGTGTGTGTGTGTGTGTGTGTTTTGTGTTGTGCGTGCCCCGACTTTCTACGCCGCGACGCTGCGCACGAGGCCGCGAACGGCCGACCGTCAATCCACTCGGCCAGCCTGAAGGCTGAACCAGAGGCCAGGCCACACAGGCCTCATCTGTTGGGCTTTCCGATTATCCAGGCTCAACGGTCCAAGCGCGCCTTGTGCAGCCGTCGAAACTTGCTGTTGCGGCCATCATCCCCATCAACATTTTTATCATCGCCATCATCGTCATCAACGTCGAAATCCGCAATGTCACGGTGATGATGTGGTTACCCACCGGTCGGAAGAAGTACGTAGAAACGTGACGTAGGAAGGCATTGGAAATACATTGGATCTCCAACCGCCTCCTGAAGAGAATGGGAACGGTAAAACCGATCGATGACTGAAGTAGGAAGGCACGTAAAATAGATCGGGCTCTGGGAACCCAGAGAAGTCTAACTTCCAGCGACCGATGGGTATCCACAATGTCACTACCATGCATGTGCTTGTCCTCCTTCGAGCCGTGATGGGCGGAGGCAGATGACAGACTCATTGGCAATGAAATCGCGCCCGCGACGAACCTCCGTTCTGGTCTGACCCCTACAGTGGGGGCTCGACCAGAAGAAACCTTCCACAAGAAACCCTAACCCTGAGACCCCAGGACGTCCGTCGACTTCTGGTGTCAGGACGTCACGCTTCCCATGGCAAGACCATCGAAACCCAGGAGACCCAGGGCACCCTGCCTCCGGGGTGTTTCCTGGCATGGGTCTCCACTGTAGCGTCGGCGGCCCTGTCTCACAACACACACACACACACACACACACGCGGGCACGGCCTGCACCACGCACCTGCGCGGCTGTCGCAGGCGCGCGAATCGCTCTGGAAGAAAGCAGGCCTGTGCGGTCGGAGCGGGAGCCCGTCGCCACTGGAGGAGGAGGGCAGTTGTCAGCTAGGTTCGAAGGGGAGGAGGAGGTTCGAGGATGAGGTTTAGGGTCTCGGTCTTTGGAGGAGGTTTGAGCAGGAGGAGGAGGAAGTCCGCAGTCTGAAGAACGGAAGCAGGAGGCAACGAAACCAGAGCGCCGAGGAGTCGCATGCCACCCTCTTGGCGCTGGGCCACCCATCGGGATGGTCCTCGGCAATTCACCTGGCCCTCAACCGCAGACCGAGGCGTGCGCGACATCGATCGGCGCCATGCGATCAACCGGACGGCCACTGGGGGGCCACATGCGAACCCTACCCCTACCCCCCACGACTTCTGAGGGGGAGGTGGGGTAGGGTTCGCATGTGGCTCCCTAGGGCCACGAAGCCGCTGCCCTAAAGAGAATGCGCGAGGGAGGCGGTCTTCTGAGAGGACGGTGTGGGCTTCTCAGGAGGCAGGTGGCTTCTCAGAAGCCCCTGCAAGCGTCTATGAGATCGCGAGGCCCTTATGGGACAGCCCCTGCTGCCTAAAACGGCCCTCCACGCCTTAGACCGCTGAACCCACTCGCTCTAAATCCCCTTGTGTGTTGGAGGCGGCCAGGGGGTCTGAACTGGCTGGGGCCGCAGAGAATCGGTCCGGGGGCGAAACTGAAGCGCAAACCGTTCAAAATCGGTCCCTGGACTAAGACGAAGCCAGGACGAGGATAACATCGGGTGAGGATAAATCGAGAATCTCTGAGATCCCGCGGCTCTGGGGGATGTATCGGGCGCCGCGGCCTTCTCAGAGCGGTGCGGAACGCTCTGAGAGCCTTGCAGAACGCTCTGGAACGGATATATCCTCGTCCTAGCACCGTCCGGTGGACCCTTCTCGGGGTCGATCTGTTGCAATGTCTTCAGCCCATATCCATATGTGCTTAGGAGGAGCAGCCTTTGGGAGTTCGCGTCGCTCGCCAAGCCCTTATCGGAGCCAAGTGGATGCTTTCCCAGTGGGGCTTCGTCAAGGCGTCAACGTGGGTGAACGAGGAAGACTCCACCTTGCACATGGGAGACGAAAAAATCCTCAAAACAACCGTGGCGGAAGGCACCCTGAAGGTCGAGTGCGGGACCGGGTGGGAGAACTACCTCCAGAGCGCGGAGTGGAAGAAGAACTTTCACGGAGCATTGAGCAGAAGGACGCCGCGGGCAAAGGCAAGGGCAAGGTCAAGGGCAGAACATTCCATGAGGGAGCAGCCCGATCAGCTCAGAGTCCAGATGCAGATTTGTCCACGGGTGCCTTTCTGGTAGATTGCAAACATGCAAGAATACACGCAAGACATCGGCTAATTCATGTTCTGACCGAGCTTGAGAACGTGCCTTGAAACCTGTTTGCTTTTCTCAGGCACTGGCTCCGACAAGTGATGTTATTCTCGATGGTGGTCACCGCTTGATTTCCGGACTCGGTGATTCTCGTCATCTTGGCGTTGCCATTCTCTTGCGCAGGCAGCTGGTTGAGCAAGTCAGTCGAATTCATATTTCTTCGGGTCGTGTGATGGCAGTGGATGTGAAGGTTTACGGAGTGAGCTTCCGAGTCGTGGCGGCATATGCCCCTCACTGTGGCCATGGGCGTGCCGCTCTGCAGGAATTTTGTTATGACTTGCATCGACAGCTGACTTGCATCGCTTCTGGACGGCACGTTGTCATTGGAAGGGACTTTAACACTCAGGTCCACGCCGATTGGCGCAGCGACGTGATGAAATCTTTCGTCGCTGAACACGGCTTAGACATCCTCTCAGACCGTTTAGACGTACCATGGAGCAGGCGATGGACTTTTGAGAGCACGCTTGGACACAGGCGAGAGCTTATTTACATCTTGGCAGACAACGCGTTGACGGCCCAACGAGCGGAAGCTGTTCGGGAACTCGATCGCGGTTCGGATCACAGAGCGGCGTTCGCTTCGGTGGCCCTTCCTCGCTAAGATCTGCACCGCGGGCGGCGGACCAAATCCAAAAAGCGCTGGCACGGGTCACGATCGCACCAACGAGCGGTCACGGAATGGGTGCAGACTCTGTCTATAAATTCGCTGCGCGGCGTGCACGACTGTGTAGAGGAAGCCGCTGAATCCACAGGAGCGACCACGACTGACCGTGCGACTGCGGGCAAGGCCTGGGACACCTTGGCGCTCAGAGAGCTAAGACAGAAGAGGCGAGAGTGCACTGATCATCGAGAAAGGGCCCGCCTCTCGGAGATTATCGCGGCAGACACCCGGCGCCTCCTGAGAAACTGGAAGATTGATCGATTGACGGAACAGCTTTCGAAATCCAGGGAGTTGGGCCAACTCCAAAGAATCAATGCAGAGCCTGTGAAGAAGCACGCGTCGCAGAGACCAGCACCTCGTGAGTTCGCAGCAATCTTGGAGGCCGTGTATGCTTGCAGCGAGCAGCCACGCGACCCAAAAGATGCCCTGCTGCTCGAGCAGTTCCCGGAATTTAACGCGAGCGAGCTAAAGATGGCGCTCAGACAGATGTCCAAAGGCAGATGCGCGGACAAGCACGGTGTCGTCCTTGAGATGCTTGCGACAGGTGGCGCTTCACTGCAGAACGTGCTGCTGGGAGTCTTCAACCGAATCCAGCGCTCAGGGGATCTGCCAGAAGACTGGAGCGAACTCTTGTTCATCATGCTCCCCAAGCCAGGTTCTGGCGATAAGGCGGATCCAAATGATTGGCGACCCATCGCAGTGCTGGACGTCCCGTACAAAGTGTTCTCAAACATGCTGAACAACAGGCTGAAGCCTCTCTTGGACAGCGAGCAGCGTTCTGAACAAATGGGCTTTCGATTCACGACGGGTGTCGATCACGCCTTCTTGGTGCTGGAGTGCGTCATCGGTAAGTCGATCGAGTCGAACGTGCGCTCTGAATCGTCAGCATCGATCTGAAGAAGGCTTTTGACAAGGTTTGCTACAGTTCCTTGTTCGACGCTTTCAGGGAGCAAGGCGTCGACAAATCCTACCTCGCGCTGCTGGCTCGGCTGTATCCTGGGCAATCTGGCAACGTCGGTGGACAGGCGTCGTTCCCCATCTGCCAGGGCGTGCGCCAAGGAGACATACTTAGCCCTGCGTTGTTCAACGCTGCCTTGGAATATGTGCTGCAGCAGTGGAAAACGAGGCTCGGCAGCTGCGGCCTGCTCCTGGACAGCGCCCACGACAGGCTCACGAACATCAGGTATGCTGATGATTTGCTGCTGCTTGGGAGACTTTCGATGAGGCCACATTCATGTTTGAGGCACTGTCTGAAGAGCTTGCCAGGGCAGGCCTGTCCATCAATGGTTCCAAAACGAAGATACTGACCACGGATTCCACGTCGTCGAACAGCGATGCCCCGCTGCTGGCTCACGCTGGTGGGTGCATGGCGGAGATCTTGAGATGCGACGCGACGCACACGTATCTCGGACGCCTGTTATCTGGGGATCTACGGCGGAGAGGGCTTTGCAACTTGAGCAACCGCTTGGCTTGTGAATGGATGAAATTTCACAATCTAGCATGGACTCTGCTGAACAGGAAGATCCCAATTCCACTGTGCCTCAAGTTATTCAGCAGCGCCATTACTCCTGCTGTCTGCTACAGCTTATCTACGACGCCGCTGACACCAGAGCAAGTTGGCAAGCTGGATGCCGTCCAAAGAAAGATGCTGCGCAAAATCGTAGGCTGGCCCGCTTTGACGACGAGAGCTGGGAGACCACGGGGCGCCGCATGAAAGCTAGACTGGAGGCCGCGCTTCAGTAGCACCATGTGCAGGAGTGGAACCTGGTACGCCAGCTTGCCAGAGACAGGCTGCTCCGCACCGTTGATTCAGGTTCGGCGCCGATCGTCGCGCAGCTGGCCGCCGCTTGGTCTCCGGCGGGAGCTCATGATCGACTCCTGCAACACGTTCCGCGCCGCCGGCGTGGAAGGACGAGGCAGAGATGGACAGGAGCGGCCCTCTACCGCCCCTTTGCTTCCTCTTTTTCCCTCCCCTCCCTCCCCTCCCTCCCTCACCCCGGCGTTGCTACGCCGGCACGTGTGTCACGTTCGTTAACAGATGCCGTTGTTGTGATGCTTCCCGAAGTTCTCCGGTGACGTTCCGAAAGCACTGTCGCCGTGCATGCTAATCCCCCTGTTCTGTATCAGGACCGGCCCTGGGCCGATCGGGCGTTGCGTTGCCATTTGTGACGGTCCCGGGGCCGAAAAGGACAAAAACGTTCCCTCCAACCCAGAACACTCGAACCTTCCCCCCCTTCCTCGCTGGCCGGAACCAATGCTGGGCCACCTCAGACCTCCAGCCCGGCTCCAACTTTCGTCTCCAATTGCGCCTCCAATCGGAGACGCACTGACCCGGGTCAATGCAAACCTGGGTCAGTCAGGCTGACCCAGGTCAGTGCACCCTTGGTCCTGCAGGATCCTGCAAGATCTGGCGCTCTGGCTGGCCCCCGTTTGCGTTGCTCCCCGTCTTCAGGCTCCCCTTCCAGCCCTGCGCTGGCTTTAAGTCGGGCCTGTCCCCCCATTGGGGGATTTTCGACGAAAAATTAAACATACCCCAAAAATGCACAAACAAAATCCATCTGGGGACTATTTTTTGACTATGTTTCAACATTTTTGGAGTATTTTGGGGGTATTCTTTATTTCTCGTCGAAAATCCCCCTGTAGGGGGACACGCCCGCCATAGAGCTGGCTGCGCCAGCATCCCCCAACCGCAGCCTGCGATGCGCGCGGCCAGACGGCCCTTGGGGCGGCCGATCGGCGACCTGCGACCGCCACGGCCCCTGGCGATGCTGCGCCCCGCACGCCCCTCGCCTCGCAGGCGTCGTCCAGCGCCTTTGGGAGGAGGAGGAGGAGGAGGAGGAGGAGGAGGAGGAGGAGGAGGAGGAGGAACAGCCCTGCCGCCCCTCAGCATTCGACCATGGTCCCCTTGTTACCCATGGGCGTTGGGCGGCCTTCGGCGGTGGTCTGGCGGTCTTCGGCAACCTGTGGTGAGCTTCGGCGGGTGCCGGCGCGAAGGATGGATGGCTGCATGCAACAAGGGGTCCACGACCGAACACATAACCACCCCTCTCAGCCCTTTTCTCTGCGAAAGTGCCCCATGAACAACTCTCACCAACACGACAAAGGGCGTGGCTGCGTGCCGAGTGTATCAATGGCCACGTGCTGGCGCGAGAAAATGCAACAACGTTGGTTTTCTTTTTGTGATGCTCCGTTTCATCGGACGCGGCCTGTCCGAGCCCTTCCGTGACGAGCCATGGGCGCCTGCCTACGTCTTGGAGCGAGGCGAGGGGGTCGCAGCCGAGGGCGTCGGTTTGTCATGGCAAGGGACATGTCTGCGCCTGTCCCAGGCTGCGTGGGGCTCCCGAGCGGCCCAGACATCTGGGGCCCCACTCGGGGATCTAGGACAGAGGGGCGTCCACCCTCGATACCTCCTCGTCCTCCTCCTCCTCCTCCTCCTCCTCCTCCTCCGCCTCCTCCGCCTCCTCGTCCTCCTCCTCCTCCCCCTCCTCCTCATTCTCCTCTTCCTCCTCCTCCTCCTCCTCCTCCTCCTCCTCCTCCTCCTCCTCCTCGGGGTGCGTCCGTTGAACACCCCGTGGTGCGTATCCTCGGGCTTCCCTCCTCCTCTGCGCGGCCTGATTTTTCGTGGACCAATCGGGGGGGGGCGAGAAAGCGGCTGCGCTGCCAGCGGTAGATGCGTCCGGGCCTGGCCCATTGCCGAGGAGAGCCGCCACTAAGGGAGATCGCCGCTCTCCTCGAAGGAACGGGCCCTTCTGGCCCCCCCCACAGGGACCCCCCCCCAGGGACTCCTCGAGATGCCCAACAGCGTCCAGAACCTCATCGATCCTCGATCCGCCCTCCTCCTCGGTCTTCGATTTCAAAAAGCGGGTGGAGACCCCCCCAGTGGTGACCCCTCTTGGCACTGCCTCCGGTGGCGACTCACGGGAGCCTCCCTGCCACTGGGATGGCCAACGCCGCCTGCGCCGCCGCCGCGACTGCGGGGGGTGGCTGGTCCCCGCCCTGGGCGGCTCCTCCCTCGGCCTCGGGCGTGCGCAGCCCTACCTCTGCCCACTGCGGGAAGCCGTTGGTGCCCGCCTCCGCCTCAGGGCCGCCTGCCACCGCGCCGCTGGTAGCAGCTGCCGCGCCGCTGGAGTCCACGCCTTGCGACGCGCTCGAGCCAGGCCCCTCGGCCCCGCTGCCCGCGTGCCACGAGGCGTCGTCGGCAGGCGCGCGCGCGGGGCCCACGCCGCCCCTCACTCCAGGCAGCCTGTCCACTGCATCGCCAGCCTCGGGAGCCTTCGCTGGCGGCGGCGGCAGCAAGCCCGACGGTGCGGTGTCTGGGTCGGGGCCGTCGTCATCACCGTCGAAGTCCGCCAGCCCCAGCTGCTGCAGGAGGGGGAGCTGAGGGCGGCCGTGACCTTGTCCTTGACTCGCCATAGCTCCTATGGCCTGGTCGAGGGCTAGGGGCCCAAGCCACCGCCAGCGGGAGCATGGCCGTTCTGGGCGGCGACAGCGCGCCTGGCGGCCCGCCGTCGGGCAGGGGCCCCGTGAAGCCAGGCAGCAAGGATAGCTGGGCCACTGCAGTCGGTCCGATCAGGGCCTCGATCGCCCTCACCACCTCATCAATGGACGCCCACAACATCGCCACCACGTGGTGCCATGTGGGGAAGGTTCCTGCACGTCGCCTGCCACACGTTGGCCTTGCGTTGCCACGCCTGCTCGACCATCTCCTTGGCCGCCGCCTGGACCCCGACCGAGCCCATCCCCTGGGCCGCCTCCTGGTAAGCAGCTGCATTAGCGCGCCAGCTGCTCTCCGCGCCGTCGGGGCCCCTCAGGTCGAAGATCCAGTCCCCCGCAAAGACCATGATGGTTCGCCTCAGCAGCTGCAGGCCCTGGAGCGTCGTGCGCAGTGGCACCGACGTGGAGCTGCTGCTGGGGGGGAGGGGGAGGGGGGAAGATCCCCCCCCATCCCCGCTGGCCCCGCCGCCTTCCCCGCCAGGCGCTGGCGGCGGTTGGGTGCCGTCGTCATCTGCGCCAGGCCGCGGCCTCGGCTGTGGCGGGCCGCCTTGCTGTGTCCGTACCGCGGGCCCCCCGCCTCTGCCAGGTGGGGGCGTGCGGGAGCGGTTCCGCTGGGCCTCGCCCCCCACTGCCGGCGGCTGCGTCCTGCCTCCTGCGCGCGCTCCTGGCCTCCAAGGCCGACGCCTGCAGGCCCCTGGTGAGCTCCCTCTCGTCGTCGCCGGCCGCGCACAAGCGCTGGCGGCCTGCCCCCCGCGCGGCAGGCACTGCCGCGGTCGCAGAGGAAAGCCCGCCCTGCCGCCATGTAGCCACGGAGCTGGTGGACTCGCATCCTGGGCGCTTCACCCTCCAAGTGCAGGGCTTGGCCGGTGCGGACCTCACGGAAAGGGGCGCCATCCTGCCAGCCGCGCTCGCAGAACCTCTCGGCCTTCCGCAGCTTCTCAGCGCCCAGCCTGTCCGCGCTGACGTAGTGGAAGAACCCGCTGGATTCAAGTTCACCGAGCAGCCTGTACGCGTAGTCCACGCACTCCTGCAGCCAGCACGCATACGCGTGGCTCTGGTCCTGCAAGTCCGTGGTCCACCAAGGCGCCAGCTGCGTGAGGACGTCCTCCAGGTCGCCTGAGCCCCCCCAGCCTGCACGGCAAATTTGTCATTGCCCGCTGCTTGGGGGGGGGGGGGGGGGGGGGCGCTGATATGGAGGCGGCCGCATACATTGCTTGAGCAGCCCCACGCAACGCAGGCCCCTTGGCCGCTGCCAGGAAGTACTGCACCTTCTCCTCCAAGGACGTCGGCCTCTGCTGGCGGCACTCGCCCTCCGCGGAGGCCGCCGACGGTGCCCGTCCTGCCACGCCTTCCCGACCCGTCGGCGCCGCTCCCTGGAGGTGCTCCTGCACCGCCTGTGTCTCCACCAGGTCCGCCAACTGGAGGCCCAGGTTGACCGCTTCAGAGCTCGCCAGCAGCTGCGCTCCAGCAGCGCTCTGGCTCTTTGCCGCTCGCATCTGGCCGAGGCGCGAGGGCTTGCAAGGCCTGCAGTCCAGGAAAGTCCGAGCCTTGCCAGTGTAGGCTCCCCACACGCAGTGGATGCACTGGACCCCGTCGACCCCCGCCGCCGGGTACTCGTGGCGCGTGCGGCTGAGCTGCGGACCTGGAAAGACTTTCGGCTCCGCCTTCCGCTTGGGCTTCCCGTCCTCACCCAGCGGCCGCCGCAGGTCGACTTGAGAAATCCTGGCCGCCGCCCAGCCGATGTAGTCTGCCGTGCCCAGCACCCGCTGCAGCTCCGCGCGGATCGCCTCGGCGGTGTCATTGGGCGGCTCGATCTCCGCCGCCCCCATGTTGGCAAAGAAATCCGCCCAGCAGTTGCCCAGCCAGTCCAGTGGCCTGATGCCCTCCTCCATCGCCTGCTCCAGCGTGCGATGGGCAGGGGCCCACCTGAAACGTGGCGGGGGCATGGCCCGAGCTGCTGCTGCGGCATGCAGCTGTCTCCAGATGCCAGCGTGTCGCCCACGCGCCGACGCCGCCTCTGGGCTCCAGAAATTGCCCTCCGCCACGAGCGACTAGAGGTCGCTGACGATGAGGTTTTTCGCCCCTGGCTGCCTCAACGGGGCCAGGCAGGCAAAACGCACCGCTCGCCCCGCCGTCTGGACTTCCCCTGGGAGCGGGCCATAGGCAACCTTCAGCGGGAATCCGTCCGGCCTGAGGGCCACCACTGCCCAGCCGCACCTGCGGGCCTCGGGGGCCTTGGAGGCGTGGCCCGAGCCGTCCGTGTAGACAACTGACGGCCAGAGGACTCATTCTGCTCCCCAGCCGGTGACCGAATGAGTCGACGGCGCTGCAGGCGGCAGCGCGGGCAGCAGCGGGAGGCCGTGCGAGAGGGGCAGGTAGCTGTCGCCGACGGTCCAGCGTTGCTCCGCCTCGTGCATCTGTTGGTGGACTGCAACCAGCGGCTTGGACTGCAACCAGCGGCTTGGTGGACTGCAACCAGCGGCTTGGACTGCTCCAGCCCGTCTTCCCTGGGCTCCATGACTACAGGGCAGCGGCGCCAGCGATGCATGAGGGTGTCGCGCGCCTCGCTGCACGCGCGGCGCGCCTCGGAGTCCGTGAACCCATGGCCGTGCCTCCAGACGTTTGTGTAGTGGCCTTGCGACCAGAGCGCCTGGAGCGCATCCTTCTCTGCAGCTGCGCCTGCCCGCTGTGCGATCGCCCGCGCCGCGCGTGGCCACGGCGTCTCCCCTTGGTGCTCAGGGAGGTGGGCCGCCGCTCGGCGGCACTGCCATCCCTGGGTGCCCTCGACCACGGCGTCCTTGATGCCCCTCGGCGCTGCGTGCAGCATGGGGCGCTGCTCCCCGATGTCCGACTTGAGCGCCCAGACCGACTGCGTGCTCCAGCCGATGCGCTCGAGGGGGGGCCACGTCGCGGCCAGGGGCCCATGGGCGCTCGCCTAAATGAGGCGGCCTTCCTTGGCCACTACCGCCAGACTTTCCCAGCTGGCGGCGAGGGCGGCGACGGGGCCGCTGCCCTCCCAGATGCGGCTGGCCAGGCGCATGACCAAGGGGGCCGTGGCCGTGTAGATCGGGCCATAGTCGACTCGCTTCTGGAGGTGCATGACCGCCGCGGTCCCGCACCCCGCCTGGGCCCCCGCCGCGACCGCCGCCAGGGTACGCCGCCCGCGCCATGGCCCGCCGAGGGCGAGAGGCCCGTGGCCACCAGGGCCGCTGCTCGCCTGCGAGCCGCCCGCCTGAGCATGGCCAGCCGCTGCCTCCTCTTCATCAAGGAGGCCCGCCTTCGCTTCTCCTGGGTGCGGAGCACCTTGCGCCCGCGCA